TAATTTATAGGAATGTTGATTAAGAATTATTTGCATGCATTGTGTAATTTTTTGCAAATATTAAAAGAATGGGATTTGAATGATAATGGATGAATGTTAGGTTAGTTGATAGATTGTTAAATAATGAGTTTTGTCAAAGAGGTTAAACAATTTGTTAAATTTGCTATTACTCATCCTAAAATGTATGGATGAAACCAAAATAAGGTGCCTTTATAATCACAATTAGTGTTAGAACAGAAATTTTAAAGAGGTTAAAATGGTCGAATACCATTTGTGGCATAAGAGTTTTATGTCGGGATATTATGATTGGATATATCAAGGAGAATTTGAGTCATACATGGCATTTTATGATTTTAGGAGTCATTTTGTTTCTAAAAATTATCATGAATGCGAAGTTAGCTCTAATGAACCTCAAAATCCATATCAAACAATGGTGATTGATATAGTCGGTCCATCATTTGATCTATCTAACATGAAGGAGGTACCAAATCCAATCGCTTAAGCCTTTTATGATATGTTAGATGCATCATGTAAAGAGATTTGGATTGGTTGTGATAATCACTCACGGTTGTTAACGAGTTGCTCGATTATTGAACCTAAAATCGAGTATTATTTTTTTGAAAAGTGTTACAATGAGTTATATGAAATAATGAAGGAGTCAATGCCTATTAATAATCGTATGACAAATAACTTTTATGAAACAAAAAAGTTGGTTAAAGAGATGGGTTTACCAATGAAAAAGATTCATTATTGTGAGAGAGGTCGCATGATCTATTTGGATGAAGACAATGAATTGGATAAATGTGAGTTTTATGTATATCCTTGATATCGAAGACCGTGCAGGAGAACTACAAGAGAAAACTTCTTGTAATAAAAAAATACTACTTTTTGCTCATCCTATAATTACAAAGATTGTATGCATCGAATGCCATAACTAAGCCCATGACATAGCATGCCGAGCATGAGGTAAAGGATACGGGAGTAATGCATCGATGGAGTTTTGATCGATTCACGTTCCTTTTATAGTTGAAAGAAAAAATATCGAATTAGGAGTTTTTGCTGATGGGTTTCAACCATTCGGTTAATCCGGTGCTTAATATTCTTTTTGGTTGGTAATTATGACACCTGTACAATTTACAACCGTGGATGTATATAAAAGAGGAATATATGTTCCTAATATTGATTACTCTAAGTCTAACAAATTTAAAGCATAGGTTGGATGTTTACTTACAATCTTTAATTGTCGAGCTGATTCATTTGTAGGAAGTGGGTTTGGTGACGTATGATATATATCTTACGTAGAATTTTATATTGAGAGTCATAGTGATGTGGAATATTAGTGACTTTTCAAGCATATTCGATATTTTCTGGTTGAAGTACTATATAAAAATTATCATGTCCTTATTGCATGAAAAATTCTAATGCTTTCTCTTTTCTTAATAGAAGGAAGACCTTGTGGCTTGACAATCACCAAAACTTTTTTCCTCAAGATCATCTATTTAAAAGAAACAAGAAAGCATTCACCACAAAAAAGGTGTTAGATGTAGCCTTCCTTCAATCCGATCTAGTGATGAGATGTGTACAGCTAGTGGAATAATGAGAGTTGTTGAAAGTGACAAAAGAGGGTGTAAATGATCATGATAGTAGAATCTCTCAAATGTGGATGAAAAAAATGAAGTATTTTTTAAGATTTGCCTTACTAGAGTATAAATCTCATTCAAGCATAATTTAGATATCATACATATTGAGAAAAATATGTTCGATAATATATTTAACACGATTATGAATATGTTGGATAAGACTAAAGAAATGCTAACTTCGGAGAAAACTTAAAACTTTTCTATTATAATTCGGAATTAGCAAGGGATGATACATCTAGAAAGAACCCCGAAGCTACTTTTACCCTTTCAAAACACTAAAAACATAAAAATTCTTGAATGGATCAAACAACTTAGGTTTCTTGATGGATTCGTGTCTAACCTAACTAGATGTGTTGATATAAGAAATGACAAATTGTATGGAATAAAAAGTCATGACTATTACATCTTTATGTAGAGATTAGTTCGATTGCATTTCAAAAGCTTTTGTTCGGAAATGTTTGGCAATCACTTATCGAGTTGAGTTTGTTCTTCAAGCAATTAACTTCTATCGTGATAAGAGAATAAGCTATGGTGTATCTTCATGATGAGATACTCATCATTTTGTGCAAAATAAAGTGTATATTCCCTTCTAGCTTTTTTTTTTAAAAAAAAACTTTATGAAATATCTTTCAAGACACTTGGCATATATGACATCTATTACGGGACTTGTACAATATCGATGGATGTATCTATTTGAAAGGTAATGACATTGAATTTTAATATTAAATTAAATGAACTTGCAATTATCAAATATTAAATTAATTTATATCATAGGTACCTTTGTAAGTTAAAAAAAACAATATCGGGAATAAGACAAACGTGGAAGGGTCAATATGCAATGCATTTTTGATAGAAAAAGCCTTTTTGTTTTGTTCGCACTATTTTGAACTTCACATGCATACTAGACATCATGGAGAGGCTAGAATTGAGGAGTCATAAGTCAAAATAGACATCATATACCCTAAAGTCAGTAGGAGGGGAGAATAAGAAGTGGGTTTATAGGATCGAGTTAGAGGCCTCGTAGTGTTTATCCCATTTAGTAGGCGCTAACTCATCCTCTATAGTATAGTAATTCCCCGAGTGACAATGTCTGTCGATCATACTCCCAACCAGTATGATGAGAGGATGAGGGCAAAGCAAGTGAGGTTAGACAAGCGAATAACATTATCATGCGAGTAGCAGATGAAGATTCAAGGGATGGAGACTTAGATTTTATCGATTACGGTGACGTTACATAGGCTATCGTAGATGTCTCGCTTGCCTACCGACCCCCGCACCGGCCGACGACTCCATTATCCCTCCTATCGTCCCTCCCGGCGGGCTCCGGGACTCCATCGTCCATCCTAGTGAGCCCCTAAGAAGATGAGAGGGATTAGATGATCATGATATGAAGTGACTTTTATAATTTCTTTTATGTTTTTACTTTTTTCTTACGTACTATCGAATAATTTTTCCAATATGAATTTTAATTGAATTTATAATATTTTAATTTTAATAAAAAATAAATTTTATAATAAGTTATTTGTTTTAATTGTTAGCTACAACCGTCCATCCTAGATGAATTTTAATGTTTTTATAATAGTTTTTCTTTTATCTCGGCGAGCCCAATAGGTTTTTCTATAAATAACATAATTGAAATAATGTTTTAGGAGAACCATCAAATGATTCCAATACAACTTTTATACTTTTATTATTGATTGTTTTATAAATAAATATATATAAATCAAAGGTACATATTTTTTAAAATAATAATCTTCTCATCGGTATTAAGTAAGAATAGAAAAAAATTCATTTGTTAATTTTTATACAAATTTTTATATTAATTGTGTTTTATTTTTTTGACGTAATTTATATATTAAAAAAAATCAAGGATTTCTTTAAATTTGAATTAAGTATTCTATTTACATTATTATGAGTTTTTATTTAAAAATAAATACATAAAAATAACAAATCATATTTTTTAACTACAAAATTTACAAAAACCATGAGGAAGAATAAATTGTAAAATTAAATGACCTTTTCTTTTCATCTTTAATTCAATATATTTTTGGTAGGCCTATAATATAATATATACTATTAAATTAAAATTATTTTTTCAACTGATTTTACATGTTCTGCTCAAGGAAAGACAACTAGTTCAAGTCTAAAAACTGAAATTAAACCTTTAATTTTCTATGGGCGTGGATTGTATTTTCCAAATCTAAAAAGTCCATGCCCAAGTTCGACCCATCTTAAAAACCCGTCCCGAATCCTGCACCAACAACTAGATGATAACCTGTTAGTCCCGCTTTTTATAAGTACAACCCCCTCCCTTCTTTCCCTCAATAAAAAAAGAGAAGCAAAAGCAAAAAGCCTCTCAGTTCGTTGTTAAATCCAAAATCCACTCCGTACTCGCTATCACGGTCGGAGATTATCGTTATTCAGCATCAGGATGTGAATCAATCCTCTTAAATTACCAGGTGACATCTCAATCCAGTCACTCCAATTTCTGTTTTCAGCTCCTCTCATTTATCATCATCATTCCTTCCAAATTCAAATCTCTAATTTTCTCTCTCTCTTCTCTTTTTGAAACTTAACAGCAATTTCATGTTTTAAATATTATTCATTTATATATCTATTTATTTCGCCGAAGAATTCAAGGACGTGTGGTTATTACTCGTCATTTCAACGAATTTAATTTTCTATTTAGTGTTTTTGGCTTTATTTTGTACTTTTTCCTTTTCAATCTGTGCTTTATTTTTTTTTTGAGTTAATTTGTGGTTTCCCCCTAATTTTGGCCATTTTTGCTTTCTACAGTATTCTGTAGGTTTCTGTTAGGGTTTGATTTTAGGTTACTTACACGAGTTTCATTTTCAATGGGAAATTGAAAGTTTTAGAGAATGTTTATCTATTTATTTATTTCATTGGAGAATTCGAGTGTGGTTATTTTTCGTTATTTTAATGAATTTAACCTTCTAATTGTTTAGTATTTTTGGCTCAATTTTAGTGTTTTTGGCTTATGTTGTGATTTTCTCTTCATATTTGTGCTTTGTAATTCATCTGTGGTTTCTCTTTTCGAATTCTGACGATGTTTTTTTCTTGTGATTATTATTTTTTTTCTGTTTTAGAATATTTCATTGGTTTTTTTTAGGTTTTGATTTTATCTTACTTTCCCAAGTTCCTTTTTTTTTTTTTTTGGCGTTATTTTAGCTCTTTTTTTTTTTTTCAATTTTTTGTCATTTATTTTCTGTTTTCCACGTGGATTGTTCCAAGTGAAATGAAAACTTTTTATTGTTTTAAGTGGTTATTCTTTTTTTTTTTTAATAGCTAAAAACTGAAAATTTTCATTTTCATGATTCTAGACAGAACTGTCTTTAAAATATGGGTGGAGGTGGCTATGAGTCGGGAGGTGCTTCCTGTGATGGTAAGTTGGTTATTTAATGCCATAAGATGTTGTAATTGATTGTTTTATGCTCATTGTTTCAGTAATTATTGGTAGAATTATACGTATAAGTGTGGAGTTTGAAGGCTTTCTAGGGGTGTGTGCTTTCTTTGTTGAGGACAAGGAATGGCACTGTTGTTTTGTATTCAGACAGCTAATAGATATAGGTAGAATCTTGATGGTCCTGGCGTATGGATAGCTTGTTTAATTGAAGCCTGCAGTCTCTTTTTTAAGGACTGTAGTTTAGGTTGGTTTTGTTAGTTAGACAACCTTATGAAACACAAACTGAGAATAAACTGGTTTTGTTAAAAAAAAAAAAAAAAAAAAAAAAAAAACGTACGACATACTTATTCAAAATTAGTTCCTTTTTTTCTTTTTCCATCTTCTTTACTCGCTTGTGATCATCCTATTCTAATGTTTGGATGACTTTTGGACAGATGATGATGAGGAATATGAGGAAGTTGGGGGTAACCGATTTTTGGGTTTTATGTTTGGGAATGTTGATAATTCTGGTGATCTTGATGCTGATTACCTTGATGAGGTGAGCTTATTTGTTTCTGTTATATGTAATCTTTTATTTCTTATATTTTCAGTAAAAGATTCAATAATATGCACGTGTTGATACATAAATCAATGGACATGCAAATGACAGTTGGCATCCTCTTAAAACTGATACTGAGCGAAGGCAGTATTATTTATTTGAGACAGGAAAAGAAAAAAGAAAATCATATGAGGCTTAGGCCGTTGAAATGAAGAATTAATAGTGTTTTAAGAATTCAAAGATGGAAAATACACTAAACTTTACTGGTAATGGTCATTTCTTGTGGCTTGGCACTCCAGGAGGTGAGGTTGAGTGAAAAGATTTTCATATTTCAATATGAAACCTCTGGTTGCCGCAGGTTGTCAAGTTTATGGACATTGATCTTTGACAGTACATAAGGAATACAATATTTCTTTTGTTTTTGAATCTAGTAAATGTGGGTTGTCAGCTGTCAGCATTATAGACAAAGTTGGTTTATGGCATCTTTAGAAATTTCAAGTCACTTTCAGGCATGCAGCAGCTATGTTTTGCAGCAACCTATTTTCTCATCTTACTGTCAATTGAGTTGTGGGCTTGCTGTGTTTATCATACATTCTTCTTTTACCTTTAGCGAGCAACATTCTCATTTTTTAGTATGGTAAGTGTTTTCCAGTTTGATACTCACTTATGGTGCTAAACTGCATATTTTCAGGATGCAAAGGAGCATCTTGCCGCACTAGCTGACAAGTTGGGTTCGTCATTGACAGAAATTGATGTATGGAAAATCTCTATCATGTGTTTTAGCTTTCGGTTCTCTATGATGCTCGAGCAGATTTCTTCTCTCTTTTTTCGCTTGACACTAATCTCATGCTATTCTATTTTCAGTTGTCAGTGAAATCACCCCAAACATCCACTGACGCTGCAGAACAAGGTGATGTTGTCTGCCAGGAAAAACTATGTCATGCAGTTTTTGATGTTGTGTTAGTATCTTTGGTTCTTTGACTAATTAACCCCCTCTCTCTCTCTGTTGTTTTTTACTTTCTTGACTTGCATTTTGGTGACATTTTAAGAAGCTCTATTTGGATTCTTCTACTATTCTGGCATACTGGTTATTGAAACATGACTTGTCTAAATCTTGCCTAAGATTCTTGGCAAGGTTGTGAACTCTTATATTTTATTTCAATTATAGTATGTCAAGTACTTGGGAAGCTTTCTAGTTTAATCATGAGGCTATATCTTATAATGATGGTTCTGTTGAAAAAATAAAACTTACATTTAAGGAACATATTCAGTATGCTCAAGTGTTGAGGCACACATAATCACCAGAGCAATGCCTAGATTTGCGTGAAAAAGCAATAACTTTTTAAGGTATCTTTAACTTCTTGAATAACAATAATAATAATGAGGCTTAGAAAATAGCAAAATAGGATGCTGTCATGAAAATGCTGAATGATATATGTTTTATAAGTGAATGGGAGTATGTAGGAATGCACATGCAACCTCCTAGCAAAGACATCAATGAAACAAAAATCTGAATAATTAAGACCCTTAATGCCGGAGAACTATTAGGAGACACCCTAAAACCAACCAAAGCATGATACCATGATACCATAGGGATGCAAGGAAACTATCTGATCTGACAACATTTGTCCTCAGTGGTGAAGCCCAGAAAGGTTTTTTTATCCTTTTCTTTTTCCTTTTTTAAAGGATATAATGATTATCGTTATGAATATATTGTGGAATTGGGAAAACATAGTTCTTCATAAATTATGTTATCCCATTAACTCAATACATTCATAATAATAACAGTTGCATGCCATTGCAGAAAGTAATGCATCTCCAGCTCTTGAAATAAGTTACATCAGAGTTTATTGAAGAAATCTTTAAGAGAGAGGGGGGGGGGAGAGAGAGAGAGAGAGAGAGAGAGAGAGAGCACTAACTCAATTTAAGTCGTGCTTGATATTCTTTCAAAGACTGGAACTTATCAATACTAAATTTTCAGAATGGGAAAACTGGTTAGACACTTATCGTTATTCTAGTAACTGAGATCTCTACTCCTATTTTCAGTACCATTTATTAGAAATTGGAAGGACATGAACTTGTTATTAAGAGAACCCAACTATTTAGTTTTTTTCAGTATATCTAGTAGAAGTCAGTGCGAGTAGATATTCAGGTTTGTGAGTCGCGTTATGTTGATATTTGTGTCTGGCCAAGCCAAATGTAAGGACTTAAATATGCTTGGTTTTATTGAAAATATTCACTAATTATTATATTTTGAAATGGTTGTACCTTTTCTAATAATTTTTTGTTAAGTTCAAGCCATGTCAGAATTTTCCAACCCTTCCTCTGGCATTATGTTGTTTATGCTGCATGGAACAGTGGACTTGTGATTATGCCTTGTTTTTATTTTGATGCATATTTTGATGGTGTTCAGTTGCTTGTTTGTTGAGTCCCTTTTGTTTTTGTTTGTGAGTTAAAAGTTGAAACTGATTGTATGAACTTATCTGCACATGTACATATGCATGCATCCATGCATAAATTTTCTCTTGTGTGTGCCGCAATATGTAGATTCCACATTATTATACTAATGCACTCTGAGGTTTATATACTAATCATTCTGAGGCTTAACTTTATGTAACTTGCAATTTATCTTGTGGCTTATCTCATTAAACCTTCTGATTATGTGTTTGCTCTGTATTTCTGCTGCTAGATTATGATGCAAAGGCTGAAGATGCAGTTGATTATGAAGACTTTGATGAACAGTATGAGGGGCCTGAGATTCAAGCTGTTAGCGAGGAGGACTATTTATTGTCAAAAAAGGATTATGTGTTGTCTGAATCCATGTTGCAGGCACCTACATCTGACAATGAAGATTACGATGAGGGCGTGGAAGAGGAACTTGAAAAGGAACCTCTGGTTTCGGATAAAAAACTTGAAGTTCAAACAGCCTCTCTATTAGGTTCGATCTTAGGAGATTAATATTGGTTCATTTTTATTATAGACATTCCTCATCAAATTTTTATTTATTTGTTTATTTTTAATCTTTTTCCATTTAGGATATGGAATGCCGGTGCTCTAATCTTTTAAGGTTTTATTTATTCATAGTCTATTCTGTGATTTTAGTGGTTCAGATAGATTCTTTCCTTTACCCCGCTCAAACTTTTATATTGAAATCTGGTATTATACTCTTAATTTTAAAAGATTGAGGTTCTGAAAATGTGACTGACTGTTCGGTGCTAATAATCCTGGCTGCTGGTCAGATCAGAACTTGGTAGCTGTGATTCACCAAACAGATATTTTTCATGCCCCCTCTCCTTTGGTTTTTATTCACCCTGTAGCCTGCAAATGTTCCTTAAGTGGATTACACCCATTTTGTGGGGAACCTGAAAGGGGCTTTGGTATGACGTACAAATTCAGTATAAGCTGTTTGGATGGATTTTCTATGTGACATTTCAGCAATCATCTTGATTGATTTTGCCTTACATTCTGTTCTCTATTCTCAGACAGCTCAATGTGTGTGTACACAAAGTAATTTAAATTGCATCACTCACCTAGGAGGTTTTGCAGCGTACAATTGAACCTAATGAGATTTCCCAAGCTTTTCTCCAAATTTGAACTTTCCAAGGAGTGGTGGCTGTGTTGTTTCTGAGACTTTTCTGAATTGGCACAAGACAAAGACAGTAGCATTAAGGAATTCTGAAACTTTTTTCTGAGATGTGTGATTAATTATCAGACCACGTGATTTCATATATATATATTCTTCTTCTTTTTTTGGTTCTCTCTTAATAATATTTTGTATCGAATATTTTATTTCTATTTGAGGTTATTTTCCTTGGTTGTGTAATATTCGTTGGTTTTTTACCATCAATACCTTCATGCACACAAAGCTTTCCAATTTTCTAAACTGTGTCAGCAAAGATTCTTTAGTTTAGAATCTCTTTTTCAGGTCAGCAAGATGTTGGAGTAGTTTCTGGAGGAGAGAAGCCTTCCCAGGATGGTATAGAACTTGGCTCAATGGGCTCTGAAAGCTCTGATGCTGATATCGAAGATATTCATGAGGTCAGTTTGCCATGTCCTCCTCATTCTTCAATTTTCTGTTGGTGTTACCTGTTACTGCATTGCATTCTAAAGGCTGTTGCGTGATGTTCTGGTCAGCAAATGTTTGGATTACTGTATTATACAAGTTAGGTGTTCATTCAACAAATCAATGACTATGGATATTTTTGAAAGATGAATGCAAGCCCTGAGATTGCAAAAACATCTGTGCATGTTAGATCATGATTTTAATATAGATGAGTGCAAGCAGTTCAGTAAATACTTCTCTTGGTATTAACTGTGTGACAATTCTCTGGAAAGAGACAAAGCTCTAAATAAAAATGCCCCATATCTCTTTGATTGTTGAGTATCAACTAGGGAAACACCCTAAAACCCCTGAAGCATTGCATCACAAGGATGCAAGAGATTGAGTCTGGGCTTGGAAATAATATCTTTCTTGCCCAGTTGCCACAGTTTATAAGATTTAGGTCTTGACAACCTCTTAGTTTGCTCACAGATTGCCTTGTTTTTGCTATCCCACTATTTTCTGGTGTTGTTAGGGTTGCCTTGGGAGATGTTGTTAGAGTTGCCTTGGGAGACTATCTTCTTCAACAACTACTTTCTGGATGGGAAGTGAACCTTGAAAAATTTTCAGTTCTTTTCATCCAGAAAAACCAGATAGTTGCAGCAAATGGCACATTTCATCAAAGTATTAGAATATTCTCTCTTTCCTAAACCCAGAAAGGCTACTGTCTAGAATTCTGCCATCCTTGTCAAAGAACTCAACGTCACCCATGGCGCAACTCTAATAGCAAATAATCACATCCCTCACTTTTTTTAGGAAAAGAAGAAAAGAAAAGGTCACAGAGAGGAAAAACACATTTATGCTTTAAACATGGTGATTAATTTGCTTCTTACACTTCTGAAATGCTAACCTGGTAAATCTTAGTCATCTGTTAATCAAAGACATACCATGTTTTCTCTGTAAAGGTTGATAAAATATGACAATCTGTAAATGTGCACCATCTTTCACCCAAGGTGCTGAATAATCCACTTGCATATTTTTGCGAAATTTATATTGTTATTCTGATTCTTATTGATGTCTTTTATGCTAATGTAGGAGGAAACTGATACGGTCAAGGGGCATCTAGATGGTAAAGGTTACACTCCACTTCCTGTTTTGTGTATAGAAGATGGGATGGAGATCTTACGGTTCTCTGAAATATTTGCTATTCATGAACCTTTGAAGAAAGGAGTAAAAAGAGATCATAGATATTCCATTTTGAAAGGTGTGCTCTCTTGCTTTAGGTATTTTCTTTCAGGCTTAATGTATCTGTGAATTGATATGAAGCAGGAAATATTGATTGTATTGCTGTATCACTACTGGTATTACAACTTACATAAATATAGCTACATATAGCATCTAAACTAGGAAATTACAAACTAGGAAATTAAAGCTATAAATCTTCATAAACTCCTTGATTAGAGCCTTAAATTCCTATATTTACATCCTAAAATACACCCGGAATATTCTAAATAGAATATTTCCTATTCCAACACTCTCCCTCAAGCTGGCTTGTAAATGTCTTACATTGCCAGCTTGCTTACCAGAAAATCAAATTGTTTTTTCAGTAAACCTTTGGTGAGTATATCAGCCACTTGTTGAGAAGTAGGAATATAAGGAATGCAAATTAGCCCACTTTCAAGTTTCTCCTTGAGAAAGTGTCTATCAACTTCAATATGTTTAGTCCGATCATGAAGAACCAGATAATGAGCAATTGAAATGGTAGCTTTGTTATCACAATAAATTTTCATAGGAAGTGATGCAGGAAGCTTCAAATCTTCAAGCAATTTTTTAATCCATATAACTTCATAAATCCCTTGTGCAAGGGATCTAAATTCTGCTTCAGCACTACTTCGTGCCACAACATTTGGCTTCTTACTTCTCCAAGGAACTAAATTTCCTCCAACAACTGTGCAATATCCAGATGTTGATTGCCTGTCTGTCACACTACCAACCCAGTCAGCATCAGTATAGACGTCCACCTGAAAGTGATAACGTTTTTGAAATATCAAACCCTTTCCTGGAGTCCCTTTTAGGTACTTAAGTATCCTATAGGCAGCTTCAAAATGCTCATGGCCTGGTGCATGCATGAAGTGGCTTATCATGCTTATCGCAAATGCTATATCTGGGCGAGTGTGCGACAGATATATAAGTCTGCCCACTAAGCGCTGAAATTTCTCCTTTTCAATCACATCCTCAATTTTAGCAGGATTTAGTTAGAGATTTACCTCAATTGGAGTCTCAGCAGCCTTGCAACCTAGAAGATCGATTTCATTCAGTAAATCAAGGACATATTTCCTTTGATTTACAAAGATTCCTTCACGCGATCTTGCAAATTCCATGCCAAGAAAATATTTTAATGTTCCTAGGTCTTTAATCTCAAAGTCTTCAGCTAGTCATTTTTTCAATCTTGCTAATTCATCAAGATCATCACCCGTTAATATCATGTCATCAACATATACAACGAGGATTGCTATCTTCCCTTTATCAGTGTGTCTATAAAAAAGAGTATGATTTGCCTGACTTTGATGATACCCATATCCTTTTAAAGTCTTTTCAAACCATTCAAACAATGCCCTTGGAGACTGTTTGAGGCCATACAATGACTTCTTAAGTTGGCAAACTTTGTTTTGACTAACAAACTCTTCAAAACCAGGAGGTGGACTCATAAAGACTTCCTCTTCCAAATCACCATTCAGGAAAGCATTTTTCACGTCTAGTAGGTATAAGACTCAATTGAAATTGACTGCGAGAGACAATAAAACACATATAGAGTTAATTCTGGCTACTGAGGAAAAGGTTTCCTGATAATCAACACCATATGTTTGAGTAAATCCCTTAGCCACAATTCTAGCCTTGTATCTCTCAACACTACCATCTGCCTTGCATTTCATAGTAAATACCCATTTACACCCAACTGTTTTCTGACCTCTAGGCAGCTCTACAATTTCCCATGTTCCATTTTTCTTTAGTGCATTTATTTCCTCCATCACAGCTGTTCTCCAATTTGGATCATCAAGTGCTTCTTGAATGTTTCTTGGAACAAATAGTTTAGAGATTTTTGAAGTAAATGCCCAATGGTTTTGAGAGAGACGATCATCAGACAGATATTTTGCAATTGGGTGATTAGTGCAAGAACGAGTTCCTTTTCTAAGTGCAATAGGAACATCAAGATCACATTATTTATGAGAAATCATTAGGTAAAACAGGAGGTGAAATAGGAGGATTAGTATTTTGAGAAGTGTTTTGAGTACCTGAATCTGAGGTAATGGATTGACTAGGTGTTGGAGGAACGATAGGTTCTTTACCCTTTAGATGTTTCTTTCTCCTTGCATAAACAATGACCTCAGGTTCCTGATCCTTAGGATTATTTTGCAGTATTTCTCTCCCTATCAAAGATTCAACAATGTTTGGCAAAACAGTATTCTTATCAGTAGAAATTGCTTTGTCATTTTCGAAGACACTAGGTGTAAAGGCCACTGTTTGAAGTAAAGTAATGAAAATAGGTATGTTGTTCTAATTGTTTTCTTCCTCTAAACTCTCCCCCTGAAGAAAATTCTTTTGAAAATAAGGCTGATTTTCAAGAAATAGAACATACATAGTAACTAGGACTTTTTGGGTCTTTGGATGAAAACACTTGTACCCCTTTTGATTTGACGCATAGCCAATAAAAACATATTTTTCAGCCCTTGGATCAAGCTTGGACGGATCCTTATTGGGTAAATGAACATAAGCTGTGCACCCAAATATTTTAAGGGGTAAATTGGATGAAATTCGGTTTTCAAGAAAGAAATTTTTAAAACACTTAAGAGGAGTAATGAATTTAAGTACATTAGTAGGCATTTTGTTTATAAAATATGTTGCCGTTTAAAATGCTTCTCCCCAGAGGTATTTAGGGATATGCATAGAAAACATAAGAGACCACGCAACTTCCAATAAGTGTCGATTTTTTCGCTCAGCTATACTATTTTGCTGCGGTGTATCAACACAAGTGGATTGATGATGAATACCCTTATCTTTAAAAAATTTCTAAGAATTTCATTGAAATACTCAGTACCATTATTAGTATGAAAAATACCAATTTTAGTTTGAAATTGAGTTTCAATCATGTTATAAAAATTTTGGAACATTGCCTTAACTTCAGATTTATCAGCCAGTAAATATACTCAACACAACCTAATATGATCATCAACAAAGGTTACAAACATTTTTTGCCTGAATAAGTAGGGATTCATGAAAGACCCCATACATCACTATGAATTGAATAAAATGGTTGTGAAGGTTGATAAGGTTTTGAAGGATAAATATTTTTATGGCTTTTTGACAAAATGCAATGTTCACATTGAAAAAGAGAACTATCCAAGCCTTTAAATAAGATAGGAAACAATTTTTTAAGATAAAGAAAATTAGGATGCTTTAGTCTATAGTGCCAGTGCATTATTTTACCTTTATAAGGGATAGAACTGATACTACTTAGTCCTCGAGGTCCTTTATCCTTGGAGACTTCATCTTCAAAATAGTAAAGACCATCGATCATTCTAGCACTGTCAATCTTTTTCCTCGAATTCTGATCCTGAAACAAACAATAGGAATCAAATAAAGTGACACTACAATTAGAATCTTTTGATAATTTGCTGACAGACAGAAGATTGCATGCAAGTTTTGGTACATGCAGAGCAGATTTAAGGGATAAAGCATCTGACAAAATAATTGAACCTTTGCCAGCAATAGGCGAGTAGGACCCATCTGCTATACGAATTTTTTCATGACCCGAATAAGGAACATAAGTATGAAACAAGTTTGAAAAACTTGTCATATGGTCAGATGCTCCAGAATCAATGATCCATGGAGCGGATTGTGATAAAGAGTAACGCACTAAGGCATTTAAATCACTACCTGTTTGTGCCAAAGAAGCATTATGAATACCAGATAATCTAGAATTGGATTTAAACATGAAGTTCTCTACATCCCAAACTGGATAGGCCGGATCATCCAAGTTTGGCTCATTCTTCTCACCAGTTGAATACCCAATCTTTCCCCTGTCGTGGATGTACATGTGCACGGATTGAGACTAGCACAAGGAATCTTTGGTTTTGTAAGAGGTAGATGGATGGACAAGAGTGGGTGTAGAATCTGATGTAATTTCATACATGGCAGTGGGGAAGAAAATAAATTAGAGTGGTTGATGGCTAGGATTTTTTGTTTAGAGAAAATAGACTAGCTCTGATACCATGTGAATTGATATGAAGCAGGAAATATTGATTGTATTGCCGTACCTCTATTTGTATTACAACTTACATATATATAGCTACATATAGCATCTAAACTAGGAAATTACAAACTAGGAAATTAAAGCTATAAATCTTCCTAAACTCCTTGATTAGAGCCTTAAATTCCTATATTTACATCTTAAAGTACACCCAGAATATTCTAAATAGAATATTTCCTATTCCAACGATATCCATCTCATTATCATTTGACTTGTTCTAGCAATGTCACAGTGAATATGATATTTTAGGACCTGTGCAATTTGCATTGTATGCTCTTCTTTTTAGTTCTAGTTGTTCGGTTTTGTTCTTCAATGCTGTGGAAGTAATGTATTAATTATGTGCCTTCTTCTCATGGTTGCTTTTTGCTTGATTCCTGCTTTAATTTCGTTGTTTAATTCATTTTCAGAGAAGTATAAATCTATGGATGTTTCTGATATTGTTGAAGAGGATGAAGAGGCATTTTTAAAGGACTCTGGTCAACTGTTTCCATCACATTTACATGTAAATCAACATGATATCTCAATCTTCAGCCAAGATGCCTCAGAGTTAGCAAGATTTGGATCTGTGCATGGAGCTATTAAAATGTCTGTTCAAACTGAGGAACAAAGAAAGAACTCTTATCTTAGTGCTGAACCAATGAACAAGGATGTGGGATGGAAGTCTCCATTGCATTCAAAATTCTACCCCCTTGATCAGCAAGATTGGGAAGAGAGAATTCTCTGGGACAATTCCCCTGCAATCAGTGACAATTCTGTGGAGAGTTGTGATCTCTCTGGACCTGACTCGGGATCTTCATTTGTTAGAGAAACTGAACAAGTGACTAGTGCACAAAATCTTCATTCAGAGTTAAATGAGAACATTGATAATTATTTTCAGAATAGGTCTTATGTTCTCTTGGAGTCCTTTGGGTCAGGAGATTCTTCAGAACTTGGAAATCTTCCTTTATCAGAAAGTAGATGCCATCCGCAACTTCTGAGATTGGAATCTCGGCTGGAAATGGATAAAGCTGATCGTGCTGATGATAGAAGGGAGAATAATGCTGTGGAGCATCATGAAAGTGATGCTGTAAGGCGTTTCAGCAAGGTCGCATTGCAAAATAGAAACTTGATGGAAGGATCTTGGTTAGATGATATAATATGGGAACCACATGAAGCTAACATAAAGCCCAAGCTGATTCTTGATCTTCAAGATGAGCAGATGCTCTTTGAAATTTTGGATCACAGGGATAGTAAGCATCTTCAACTTCATGCAGGAGCAATGATTATGACTCGACCCCTAAAGCAAAGGGTTTCTCATGAGCTGGTAGGCCGTGGAAATCGATCTGGCTGGCAATTCAACATTGCTAATGACAAGTTCTACATGAACAGGAAAATTTCTCAGCAATTGCAATCAAATTCTAATAAACGAACTGCTTATGGCATTAAAATTCATCACTCTGCGCCTGCAATAAAGCTTCAGACAATGAAATTGAAGTTGAGCAAGTAAGATTCAGTGCCCTACTTTGTAGCAGTCTTTTTTATGCTGTTTCACATTTGTGGCCTATTCTTAGAATAATAACTCATTATTCTTCAGTTCTTTTTGATGGTTTGAAAATCAGGGATTTGAATTTAGGTTCTCCAACTCCCAGGGTCTCAGTGACAGTTATTCTTCAACTATTGAGATGATTAGATGGTGCAGGATTTCTCCTTTTGATAAGCTATATTTGATTCCTACAATTTAGCGTATTTAAAGCCCTTGTTCAATTCACATTTTACAGCAATATTTAAATTTGAGATAGCCTATCTAAACTCATAGTGAGGGATAGAATTGCTGAAGGGGGAAAACATCTTACAAGTAAAAGCGATGTACTTCTTCAAGTCAATGGGAATTTTGTGTTTGAGTTACACCATACAAGTGCTATGTACTTACCAAAAAAAAAATAAAAAGGGTGTTCTAATAGCACGGTTTTTGTATATTGACATGGATTTTCTTATTGACCATATACATGTGACGTTAGAATTGATGTTTTGATCTGAAGCCTTTTGTTTGATAATGTTTGGCGATTCTTTGCTTATCTGCTTCTCTTTTTTTTTTTTTTTTTAAATAGATATTCTTGTTAGATTGGCATCTTATGTTACTGAGGCAAGCACCTAGAGTAGTGCTAGGCACCTCAGGCATTAGGAAGCCTAATCTCCTCAAGGCTCCATGCACCTTTTAGTTATAGTATAATTGACAAAGGTGTTTATCTTTTATTGTGGTCGGTCCTTTAATTATGACTGCTTTTCAAGCATCTGCATAAATATGGAGTTCCCTTTTTTCTTGTTCTTTTAAGCAAACTATACTGTTTCTCATATATGTCATGTTTCCTTGACTTGAATGTAATTCAAATTTGTATTGAGTTACCTATCAATTCTATGTCCTGCATTTTCTAAGTACTCCTTTTGAATGTAATCCACTGTTTTGCAGTAAAGATTTAGCTAATTTTCATCGACCAAAAGCTTTATGGTATCCTCATGACCATGAGGTAGCTGTCAAAGAACGAGGTAAGCTACCTACTATAGGACCAATGAAAATTATATTAAAGAGCTTGGGAGGCAAAGGAAGTAAGGTACATGTGGATGCTGAGGAAACTGTCTCTTCTGTCAAAGCAAAAGCTTCAAAGAAGCTAGGTTGTAATCACTCTTCTGCTTGTAATATACCTAATTTAAGCTTGATTGCTTGTATTGTGAATCCAATTTTACATTTTTTTATTTTTAAATTATTTAAGAAGTTCAAGAGCTTACTTCAAAATATTCTTTTTATAGATTTCAAGCCATCAGAAACTGTGAAGATATTTTATTTAGGGAAGGAGCTTGAAGACAATAAATCTCTTGCTGCCCAAAATGTTCAGCCAAACTCATTGCTTCATCTAGTTCGTACAAAAATTCACTTGTGGCCTAGGGCACAAAAGATTCCAGGTGAGAACAAGTCTCTGCGCCCTCCAGGGGCATTCAAGAAGAAATCCGACCTTTCTGTGAAAGATGGTCATGTTTTTTTAATGGAGTAAGTGAAAGAAAATTCTTTCTTCTTTTTCTCACTTTGGCTTTCCTCATCCCACTCCTATTTCCTGGGTTCTCCCGTCTTATATCTCCCAGGCATAGAACTAGGTTTTTTTTAATAAAGATCTGCCTACTTTAAATCTCCCTTTAAGGCTTTTACAAAGCTTTTTTCATGCTCATAGACAATTTGCTTATTTACATACTTGAAATATGCTCAAATTGGCATACAGAGACTTGCATGCTTCTATTAATCCCATTTCTATTCCCTTTGATATTCTTCTCTTCATTTTTTTTTTTTTTTGGTCTTGTCTTCATATATATATATTTTGGAACCAACAGAAGCAATTTTAGAAGGTTTTTGTTATTAGCGCATAGATATTTCTGAGATGCTTATCTGAAGTAGCTAGTTTGTTTAACATTAATTTCATTTGAAAATGTAATATCAGAAAGCGCTCTTTTAATGTGCAGCAAACTGTCAATGAATCATTGTCCTAGTAAAGCTGATAAATTCCCTAATTCGGTCATTGATTTGCTACCATGCTCAGATTCTTGCATGGCTGTGTTACATGCATTCTTATTTGTTTAATTTTCTCCATCATTTCTCCCTCTTACCTTAGCATATTTTTTATTTGTCTTCACTGGATCTTTTCTGTAATTCCTAAGTCTCTAGTTTTCTTGGTGCTTTCTTTTTCATGTTGTTATCTTATTTAAAAAATGACCATCATTCTAGTAGAATCTTGTGTAATACAATGACATTTTATATTCCTTCTTCCACAACAATTTTTTCCACTCCTGCCTTCACTAAATGAGTTCAAAAACACCTTCTGCCACTGCTTTCTCTGCTAACATTTAATGGACAGAGCACATAGTAAGTAGGAATGATCTAAATATCATTACATTGCCTTTCAATTCTAGTGATTATGCTGGATATCTATTAATCACATCACTTATCTCCAGTATAATTGATCTGTATTAATAAAACTTCCATTAAATTGATGAAACTTATGGGCCACAAAAATTTAGGTAGTAGTTGCAATTCTCTCTGCATTATTTGCTTCTTCATCATAATGTGCCATAGCATTGAGAACCTCCTACAGTATCAAGTTAGATTATAATTTCTTTTCAATATAGATTTATTCAATTTTTTTTTTTGGTTGAAGTCTATATCTTATATGTTTTTACTATGGCTACTCATGGTTTTCTATCAACTCGGTATCAATCTTAAAAACGAAACCTAGATAGTTGTTTTTAATTTTCTGGTTTAAATTTTTTTATTCACGTATTTGCTAATTTGAATCTTTTCTGTAAAAGGAATCTTTCACCACTCTCTTTTTCAACATTTTGGTTAATTTAAAAAACCAGTTCTAATGTAATACAGATGTAAATACGCAACCATTATTAGTGTATGTTTCTCATATTAAGCTTGTGGGCATGTAGAAACACTTTTGTTGCATCATATTAAATTCTTAACTTTGATAAATGTAATTGCTTCAGGATTAAATTCATCTGAACTTCTTCTTCTTTTTTTCTTTTCGATAAAAAAAAAAAAAAGAAAGAAAGAAAGAAAAAGAAAAGGTTCATCCTAAACTGTGGTGTTTCTTTCCTTATGGTGATCTTAATTTTTGAAGTTTTTTCCTCATGCTCATGTGCATATGAAGACAAGTATTTTTACAGGTTTCACTTGCTCTCTCCGCAGGTATTGTGAGGAAAGACCTTTGTTATTAAACAATGTTGGTATGGGTGCTAATCTCCGCACTTACTATCAAAAGTCAAGCCCTGGTGATCAAACTGGCATCTCCTTGCGCAATGAAAAAAGCAGCTTGGGGAATGTTGTGATACTAGATCAGACTGATAAATCCCCTTTCCTTGGAGACATAAAAGCTGGTTGCAGTCAATCATCTCTTGAAACAAACATGTATAAAGCTCCCATATTTCCCCACAAGGTGCCACCTACTGACTATTTGTTGGTTCGCTCTGCAAAAGGAAAGCTTTCTATAAGACGCATTGACAGAGTTGCCGTCGTTGGACAACAGGTTTGATTTACCTTCTTTCATGCTATCCTCGAAGTGTCATTTTTTCAATTCTGCCATTAGAAGTTAAAATGTTATGATGTTTCAATATAGAAATACAAGAATTAATAATTATTTGGTGCAAGCGCCCTCAAATAAATTTGGATTCATTGATCTGTCTTTGCAGGAGCCCCTTATGGAGGTATTAGCTCCCGCTTCTAAGAATCTTCAGGCATATATCATAAATAGGTTATTGCTGTATCTTTATCGCGAGTTCCGAGCTGCTGAGAAGCGTGGCACGCTTCCTTGGATCCGCACAGATGAGCTGTCCACTCATTTCCCAAATGTTTCAGAGACCATCTTACGGAAGAAACTCAAGGAGTGTGCTATTTTGCGGGTATAATTCTTGCTTTATAATTTACATTGGATTTCATAGTCTAGTAAATAATTAGTGTTTAGATGATTGTTGGCTTTGCGCTTTGATAAATGAATCTTTCGATGTGCCATATATATTGCTTTACATGGACATTCAACATACAGAAGGATGCAAATGGACACTTGTTCTGGGCCAAGAAGCGTGATTTCATCATTCCATCTGAAGAGGAATTGAAAAAGATGGTTTTACCAGAGAATGTGAGTTTCAGATTTCATTTCTAATTTTCTCTTTAATTTTTCCTCATCTTTTATGATTCTACTACGGCATTGAATTTTGATAGTCATGGATTGGTTTGATTTGAGGTCATTGTTAATTGGATTTTTGCACTTGCTGAAAGGTTGTAATATTGCAAAGATGCTGTAAGCTGTAAGCTCTTTTTGGAAATTGCATGCAATTTTATTTGCAAACTCTATTGTCTGACTAGCAAGTGTTATTAGATGAAATTCCTGCATGCTAAATGTAAATGAGATCTCATTTAACTTGCATTGTTAGAGCGAAGGTACTGACAGGTTTTATAGTTAGCACAAGGTAAGGATACTCGTTTTACAGGAAAATTAGTTCATATCTCGCTTATATTGTTAAACTAAAACGATTGGCACTGCTACCTTGTGGATCCTTAAACTTTCAACTTCAGACAATGGTTTACCTAATGAATTTGGTGGTTTAATAGAGCTTGCTTTGGAAAGAATAAAGATCATCTGAATTTTCTTGTATCTGGTTCTCTGGTGGTCCTTTAGTATGCTGAATGTTCCTGTGCTATGTTGATCCATGTACTTCTCCCTTTTCTTTTAAATAAATATATGATTTATCCCCCTCATTGTGGGCTTTAGGTCTGTGCCTATGAAAGCATGCAAGCTGGTCTGTATCGTCTTAAACACTTGGGGATTACAAGGCTAACACTTCCTACTAGTGTTTCGACTGCAATGAGTCAGCTCCCTGATGAAGCGATAGCTCTGGCTGGTGGGTCGCACATTGAGAGGGAACTGCAGATAACTCCATGGAGCCTGAGCAGCAATTTTGTTGCTTGTACAAACCAGGTAAGATATTGTTTTTCTGATTTGTTACATACTCGAGCCATCTCTGATCTTAATTTGCTTTAAGGTTAGAATTGCCTCTGAAAGTGTTTTGGATGCATCTACCAGTTACTATGTGTGAATAGCTGTCCTCTGTAAGAGCTTCTATATAGAAATAGCAGTTCCATAGTGAGAGTGTTGTTCTTTTTGTTTCCTTCACCATTCTACACTAAGAAATTGATTCTTTTGGATGTTAGATTGTCAGTTCTCTGGGATTGATTTGAACATTGATTGAGAAACTTGCTCCCTTGTTGCTTCATTGTTTTTGGAATAGAATTTTATATGATCATGTTTGGTTCAGTTAGAGATTGGGAATCTCGTTCTGTTTCTTGCTTAATATTGTTTGGTTTGTTAGCAACAAGGACTACAATTCCACAATAACTGATTCTTATTTTAAGTGAAATAAATTAATGTCTTTTTAGTTGAATTAGGACCCTATTACAATTACATTCAATTTCACATAAATTGAATGTGAATCTCTATTGAAATTGGAAGTAGAATCCTAACCACATTCTATTCACAGCCCCTGAGCAAACTGAATGACTTGTATTCATGTATGGGTCTGTAAATCACTATCTGGAGTGTGGTTGCAAAGTTGAATGCTTGAATGGTGGAACATTTCTGTAGGAAAAGAGCTCTAAAGGCGTATTCTATTAGCGGCAACTTCTTGGTTGTTGAGAGGAACACAACAAAAGTGTGTGCAAGGAAAAGAATTATTGTTATTTCTGCACATACAATCTTATAGAAATGCAGATGATGAGATAGAATTTGCAGATTCTTCATTTTGTATGTCATTTGTCTTTTTTGTAAAAGGTTGGCAACTTCTTGGCATCATTCTGTTGATGTTTTTTGATCTTTTTCAAAAAAGAAATAAAGAAAAGAAAATTGGGTAACCATTGTGTCATTTCTATATGTCATCTATGCCTGCCAACTGCACTGTAAATTTTTTCTTTCTTTCTTAGGATCATCATTTTGCTATTTATTTTCCTTTCCATTGTCGTGTGGGGGTGAGGGGGAGGGGTATCTTATCTATTTTGGTGTTGGCTCTCATTTTATTGATGAATCTATGAAATAGAAAAGCAGACACTCCTTAATTTTCACCTTTATGCTGTGGTATTATGACAATCTAGCAATGTCTGCTGTGATAATTTTGTAAGAGGTTTTCTTACTTTTTAAAATGGTATTGAAGTAATATTGTTAGTGGTTCTCTAGTCCACCCAGCTCTAGTTATAATTTCTTGTGTACTGAAGTAGTTTCTTTTGTCTCTCTTTGCTGGTTATTTTCTGTTTCAGATTTTTAGGATTTGCCAGGGGTATTCCATTTTTTTGGGAAAAAATATTTTTCCTTTTTTCATAAATTTCAAATCTCAAGTTCAATTTTTTTTCATCAGGATAGAGAAAATATTGAGCGTCTTGAAATTACTGGTGTTGGTGATCCATCTGGCCGGGGCCTAGGATTTAGCTATGTTCGTGCCGTTCCAAAGGCACCAATGTCAAATGCAATGGTCAAGAAAAAAGCAGGTGCTGGTCGAGGAGGTTCCACTGTTACTGGGACAGATGCTGATCTTCGTAGATTGAGCATGGAGGCTGCAAGAGAGGTGTGTTGCCTTTTTTTTTTTTTTTTTTCTCTTCAAAGGAATTCTCAGTTATCCTTAATAGATTGTATCTTGGAGATGAATAGCTTGAAATAAGCTTCCAGGAAACCCTGTAGAACTCATCGGTTCTCTGAAACATGTATTATTACAGCATGTCGAACTGAAGGCACTGGAAGCGTTGGTGTAGATTTAGTTAAATAGCTAGTAGAATCATTACAACATGACATGGAGAAAGGGTGATGAAGTTCTTGGCCTTCCACTGAAATATCATACCTGGGATATCATGCTTCATACGAGGCCATCGATACTCTCTTATTTAATTTGGGAAAACCATATATTGATTAAGCTACCGACATTCAAGCATTAAGCAGAATCTCACATGGTAATAGAAAAACCGCTCCAAACAGATCTAACTACAAAGGTCTCTTTAGATTTTTGATTAGCACCATCGAGGCACATGTGCCTCATCCTTTTGCATTTTATTAACAATGTAACAGTCCCTGCTCATCAGATTGTATTTCATTCCAAAGGGAGCTACCAAACCAATAGGCCTCTTCCTTATGCATTAACAGCAGTCATCTGCAATTTTACTGACTTCTAACAGCTATACAACATGACTGGTAAATAACAGCCGTAAATTAATCTCACCCATCCATAGAGAATAAAATTGATAGTGATGAACAAGAAAGATGTAAATGATTGATTCTAATATTTTCTGATTTCCAGGTTCTTCTGAAGTTCAATGTACCTGATGAGCAGATTGCAAAACAGACAAGGTGGCATCGTATTGCCATGATACGCAAGCTATCAAGTGAACAAGCTTCGTGTGGGGTAAAGGTTGATCCAACAACTATCAACAAGTATGCACGTGGCCAACGAATGTCCTTTCTTCAACTGCAGCAACAGACAAGAGAAAAGTGTCAAGAAATTTGGGATCGTCAAGTTCAATCTCTTTCAGCATTGGATGGTGATGAAATTGAAAGTGATTCTGAAGCAAATAGTGATCTGGATTCCTTTGCTGGAGACCTAGAAAACTTACTTGATGCAGAAGAATTTGAAGGAGACGAGAGTAATTACGAGTCCAAGCACGACAAAGGAGATGGCGTTAAGGGCATAAAAATGAGAAGACGCCCGTCGCAAGCTCAGGCAGAAGAGGAATTTGAAGATGAAGCTGCTGAGGCAGCTGAACTATGCAGGTTGCTTATGGATGGTATGGTTTGTTTGCTTTCTTACTACTACATATGGCCATTTCTGATGAACTATTATTTGCATCCTTCTGTGGACTTCTAGATTGTTGAAACAATTATGTCTTGGGATAAACATTTCCTGCTGCCAGGAACGTGGCAGTCTATGTGCTGCCACATATTGGGGTGCATGAGTCACTTATAAATCTTGGTGCATCAAAATCACCGGTTTATCACTGTTACTACCTTTATGCTCTGAAACATTGGTAATATGGCACTTATTTTCTTCTTTCACATCGTTTGCGTGTCTTTAATCTTCTAGTTTGGTGGACTTTCATTTAAGGGATAGGTTATTTTCCACTCCATTTACTTGTGCTTTTCTGTTCCAATATCGATTAGTGTTTGCTAATGTGGCATAACCTTTGTACTTAATGAACTATCTTAGATGGCACACTTAGGGTAGATGAATCATAGATTGCATGTTGTTACTTATTATTTAGCTTAGATTTTAGTGATTTGCTCTGCTGCAGATGATGAGGCTGGGCAGAAAAAGAAGAAAACAACAAGAAATGTTGGTGTTGAGGTAGCATTGGCACCTACGAAACTAAATTTTGTTGACAATGTTCACCGGGGTAAGAAAATGAACAAAACCCAACCCAATGGATCCTATACACCAAAAGAGAACAGCATTAGGGACTTGAAGGAGGTAAAATACATTTCACCTTAACCATGTTGTTTATTGTTGTGAAACATGCATTTTTCTTGGCTAGTTCACTTCCAGTTTCCTTTCATACCCTTTGGTTAGATAATTTCTTACTGCTTGTTAAAGTATACACCAGTGACTATCTTATGGTGGCAGCTTGAAACATTATCTATCAAAGGGAAGATGTCTGAGAAGGTGAAAACAGTGAAAAAGAATGGTTCCTCTAACATGCCTCTACTGAAAGCAAAAGTTATAATGGCAGATGGACTTAATCAAGTGAGCCTATTTGTCTTTTCTTCAATACATATGCAACCTTATCTTTGTTACTGGAAATTTCTTTTAGGAACATTTATCTAAAGATACGGAATCTGTTAGATATAATGCACTTGTATTTTTTCTTTAGTTTTGGAGGTTTAATATTTTCTCCCTTTTCTTTGTGTGTGTGTATGTGCTTGTGTGTGTGTCTGTGTCTGTGTCTAGTTGCACTTAAGAAATTCCTTTCACATCAAGTACAACTTATATGTGTACCATAAAGTTGTAATGAATTTGCTGTCTTACTGTGCAACTGTATAGATATGTGATTATGGGAGCATAGAAGAAATAGAAGATATGAAAGAGAAAAACAGGATAATCATTTTTTGTGTTTTGGACTAATTTCTAGTTTGGTAATGTTTGGTTGCAACTTACTCAAGTAAAGAATTTAGATAGGACAAGCTTACCTACTAGAGGCTCCATTTCAATTTCTGCTAATTAGCAACTAGGCAATTATGTTATTATGATGCCTTTTGTAATTCACAAAACCCAAATATCTACTCTTCTCATTCCCTATAAAGATTGCATGAAATTCATTTCAAGGCTTAAGTATATCATATTGGCTTGTCTGTAGGTGCCACTGATAGTAACATACGAGGTCTCTCATACCATTATACCAAGTGGTGTGTAGTGACATAGATGCAACCTAGGGGTATGTGAAGTTTTATTTTCCTATTCTGACACCCATTGTGCTTCATAATCATGTCTTGCACCGGTAGTTGTTCAAGAAATGACTGTTGTTTAAATAGCCTATCATGTTATACTTTAAAGCTGCATTTGTATAGATTTTTAACTTTTGAAACACTACTGCCCTTTTTAACTTTTGAATTCTAGCTTTCCTGTTTTCTGCCCTGAACAACCTTAAATTTACATTTGTTTCCAACCCAGATTTTCAAGGAGAAGAAATCAGCAAGAGAGAAATTCGTTTGCGGAGCATGTGGACAGGTGCATAACTTGCCAAATTAGCTGTGGTGTTTATTTCTTTATTTTGATGCTTCAGAAGAATTTATCTGTTGTAATTGTATTACATTTTACTTTCCAGCTTGGACACATGAAGACCAATAAAAACTGCCCTAAGTATGGAAAGGAGCCTGAAACGCCGTCTGAAACTACAGATTTGGAAAAGGCTTCCAGAAAATCCACTTCTGGGGATCTCTTGAATGTATCCCAGCATAAATTGCAGAAGAAAAAGATGATCCCCAAAAGTGCAACCAAAATTGAAGCTGCTGAGAGTGAAAAATCTAGTTTAGCAAAATCCCTTCCAGTGAAATTCAAGTGTGGTTCCACAGAGAAATTTTCTGATAAACCTTCTGATGGAGCTGCTGATACTTCTGATCAACCTACCACGTCCAATGTCCGACCAGTCAGTTCTGATATTGACACTGGGAGTAGGTCTACTGCTAAGGTTAATAAAATAAAAATTTTCAATAAGGCAAAACCTGAAAACGTACAGGTTGAATCACATAAGCCATCTATTGTGATACGACCTCCAATGGATACAGAGAGAGGCCAAATTGAATCACATAAGCCTGCTATTGTGATACGACCACCAACATACACAGACAGAGACCATGTTGATTCTCATAAGCCGTCCATTGTGATACGTCCACCAGCAGAAAAAGATAGAGAAAAGACTCAAAAGAAAATTGTTATCAAACAGTCCAAAGAGATTATTGATCTGGACCAGGTCAGTCAGGATGGAAGCACTGGTCATGAGTATCGAAAAACTAAAAAAATTGTTGAACTATCCAGTTTGGAAAAGCCTGGGAAAACCATGCATTTGTCTAGAGAGTCAGCTAAGAGGAAAGCTAGGGAGGACAGAAGATGGTGGGAAGAGGAGGAGAAGAGGAGAGCTGCTGAGAGACTGAGGGAAGAGAGAGCAAGGAGGATTTTTGCAGAAGAAATGAGGTCACGTGAAGAACAAGAAAAATTAGCTGAGATTAAAAGATACACAGAAACCATTAGATGGGATTGGGAGGAAGAAGAACGCCAAAAAGCCAAGAAGAAGAAGAAGAAGAAGAAAAAGCCTGAAATCAGTGATGATTACTTGGATGGTTACAGGGCAGCTAGAAGTGACAGAAGGATGCCAGAAAGGGATCGGGGTGCAAAAAGGCGACCTGTTCTTGATGTGGGGGGATATGGTGCTGATTACACCCCAGCAGCAAAGCGTCGTAGAGTTGGAGAGGTACTCACTAGCTCCAATCTTATTACTTCCATGTGGTTTCTGCTATGCATCATATATGTTGCCTGTTTAATTGTCATCCATAGTTCTTTTTTTTTGCACTGGTTTGGAAGAGTTTTATTGGTCAAATTTTGTCTTTTGTGAAATTGTGCTAGCTTAGCTTTTATGTCCGCCCTATCTTTTTTTGAAAAGAAATGAAATTGTTGTACAAGCCCCAATTAAAAAGTCATTGGTTTAAAGCTCTTCAGTGCTATTATTTCTGAAAAGCTTGTTAACAACTATCTATTATTCTCCTGTTTGGTCCTGGTTGGCTTGGAGGAGTTTCTCGGAGTGTTATGGTTTAGGGGTTAGCGCAATTCAGAGGTGACTCAGAATTGCTTAAAAAATTACGTATGCCTAGGCCTTTCTTTTCATTTAAGTTTGAAATGTTTTGGTTGTAGTGTCTAACTGGTCATTATGTAACATGTCTTTTAACTTATCCTGAACAGTAGTTTCTATTAACTTGGGGAAGTATTATCAACTAAAATAGAATTTTCTTACCTAAATGGACTTGGAAATCCACCTTTAGAACCATATCCCTTAATTGAAACAACAATTTGCAGCATCAGTGCATTTGTACCATTAGTTAGTTATTAAAGAGAGAATATCATTGTATCTGCCAAATTTAGTTTCGTTGCTTGTGTACGAAACCTGAACGAAGTTCTTCAATTTTTCTCAAACTTCGATCCAGGTTGGCTTGGCAAACATCTTGGAGGGTATTGTGGATGCCCTTAAAGATAGGGTGGAGGTGTCCTACCTTTTCCTGAAACCTGTGTCCAAGAAGGAGGCTCCTGACTACTTGGACATCATTAAACACCCCATGGATCTTTCGACTATTAGGGACAAGGCTAGGAAGATGGAATACAAGAACCGAAACGAGTTCAGACATGATATGTGGCAGATTGCTTACAATGCTCACGTATACAACGATGGACGGAACCCTGGTATTCCTCCCCTTGCAGACCAGCTTTTGGAAATTTGTGATTACTTGTTGATGGAGAAACAGGATAGCTTATCTGAAGCTGAAGCTGGTATTTGAATCAGGGCATAGCAGACATCATTGTTTTCTAATCTCATTATTTATCCCAAATCTCCAGGTGGCAAAAACAATTTTTAAAATTTTTTCTTTCCTGGGGTTGATAGAGTTGGTAAGAAAATAAGTTGGGTTTGGGCAGAAGTTTTCATTGCAATTGTGCCCATGTAAAATAACGAGTCACATATCTTGTACATATGAGTAAATCCGTTATGTTGTCCTCATCATGCTATTAAATTGAGGTATTAATTCAATCATGAAAGTTAAAAGGAGCAACAAGTTGAGAACTACTTTTAATTGGCAAATTTTCACTTTAGTCTGCCTCTTGCGGAACTTGGCCTTCTGTATTTTTACCAATGCGAAAAGGGATAGTTCGTTTCATGTTGCTGCTCAGCTGCTCGATTTTCTTCTTGTTAAACCATTTCTTTGATTACGAAATATCACTCAGGTCAACGTGTTATAATATGGAGATCAATGTGGATTTTGAAAGGAGGATGTTCCTTCCAGGTGGCAACTTGATAAAGCCCCCTGTTTAGCCCTTATGTTTGTACGGATTTAAGAATGTTACTTTTAAACGTAACAAATTGTAGGACCATTTAGCATAGTTTTAAATGGTGGATGTAGTTGGCGGTAGCGATTGCAAGTTGGGGTTGCAAGTTGTAAAGTAATAGTTGAGATTTATCGTAATAGTAAAATAATAATTATGACAACTAAGATAGTAAATATATTAATAATTATTAATAAATTTATTAATAATATTGTTTTAAAAGTTTAATATCATGTAACAATAGTTGAATTTAGAATAAATTATGAAAATACTTTGTAGTTAAGTGAAGAGAATACTCTGCATTTTATTTTTTTTAAATTAAACTTTATAACTTTTTTTTTAACGACGAATTTTCAATTTGGTGAATTATGAAATGACAACACTTTATGTATGTATAATTAAACCTCATGCTAGTTAAAACAAAACTCATCCCTTTCCTAAATTGCATTTTCTCTCCCATGTTCTTCTTCCTCTCTCTCTCTCTCTCTCTCTCTCTTTCTTTCTTTGAAGATAGAAATATAATCAAACATTGAAATTTACAACCAAATCTGTTGAAATCAAACACTTTTCTTGTGTGTTCTTGTTGATCAAACTTTCTTTTGTCGTTTATGATCGAATTGAAAACGATTCAAAGTTGAAACAACGTATGTGAAGCGTAACCCTATTTTTTAATTTTCGAAACATAAATGTATTTAATCCATAAAATGTTGATATTAACATTACATCTATCTATTTTCGAGAAAAATTCATAAATATTTTGGGTGTTTTGAAGGTTCTTTTTTCATCCGCAATTGAAAAATCTCAAAAAACTCTAATTTTTAAATTATTTAACTTTTGCTTCAAAACAACTTTTTTATCCTTTAATTGGTTGTTTTTAGCAAAACACATCAAATGAAATTAGGAATTTTAAGGTTTTTTAAGAAAAATTTAAAACATTGAAAAAAATCAATTTTTTTAATGTTTATTTTTTTAGGGGGATATGATTGTTTATGTTTTAATTTGTTATTTCGAGCAAAACTCATTAAAAATTAAGGCTTAATCATGATGGGTTTGGGCCTTTATTTGCTAATAGTAATGATCTGCAAATCATTGTGTTGGCCTTTAGTAGTCCGGCATAATTTGCTTTGAGCTCTTAAATGATAAGGTAATTGTAAAAGAGTGTTAGATGGATTTCAACCACTTAAGTCCTTCATACGTGAAGTGGAGGTCTTGATCGATGAGGTAATTGTCTAGGTATTTTTTAATCCTTGTTTGCATCAACAAAAAAGTTATTCCTCATTTAATTCTTGTAAATATGGTAAGTTGCTAACAAATTGTTGTATTTGACAACATTTATCATTTGTATTGAAACATTCTAACTTCAATCACCTGCACGAGTTTAGCTTAAGAAGAACTAAACTTTAACATTACGAGAAGAACAACTGAAAAACTCAATTTGAGAACTTTCCGCACCCCTCTTATTTTGAAGGAATGTAAAGCTTCTTTGTCAATAAACATTCCACCAACACCTACATTGTTTACTCGTGTATTATATATAGATCTCATCATGATATTGTTGAAGATAAAAAATCATATTACATCTCATTTCTTTATAGATAAAAAGTGATAAGCAAACCCGAAACATCTTTTTTCTTACAAACAAGAAGATTGAATGAAAAAATATTTAAAATTGATGTTCTTGTTATGGTAAATTACTAAAAACATCTTATATTTAGGTGACGATACTCTACACCTTTATTTTTTTTAAATTACACTTTATGCCATTTTTTAAGATGAACTTTTAGACCGATGAATTATGAAATGATGACAATACTCTTATATATATAATTAAACCCCAAATGCTAGCTAAGCTCAACCCATCCTTTCCTAACTTGCCTTTTCCTCTCCTATTCATTTCTCTCTTTCTCTCTCTCTCTCTCTCTCTCTCTCTCTCTGTAGAGAGAGAAGATGCATAAAAACATAGTTGAAATCAAGCTAAGTACACCTAAATTTATTGAAATCAAGCTATTTTTTTTTTGTTGATTAAACATTTATGTAGTTGTTTATGGTCGAACTAAAAATCAATCGAGGACGATTCGTAGTTGAAAGGGGTATGTTATAGTGTCATCCTAATTTTTTAATTTTTGAAACACAAATGTATTTAATCTATAAAATATTAGAATTAACATTATATTTATTTAATTCGAGCAAAACCCATAAAGATTTTAGGTGTTTTAAAGGTTTTTTTAGTTGTGTTTGAAAATCTAAAAAAAACCCTAATTTTTTTAATGTTTAATTTTTTGTTCGAAAATGGTTGTTTATCTTTTAATTGGTTGTTTTGAGGAAAAACCTATTAAAAAATTAGGATTTTTAAAGTATTTAAGTTAATTTGAAACTACTAAAAAAAAATCCTATTTTTAGTGGGAAAGGTCTAGCTTGGTTCATGTCCGAGATTGTAGTGCTTACTAAGGTTCAACACTCGCCATCTAGTTGCCCTTCTATGATATTGCTTGGATGGAAATGAAAGGCTTCTTATTTATGAATATATGCCTTGGGGAATTCTTAGCCTTCATTTTTTTAGTTGAAAGAAGGAGGGTGTCAAACCACTTGACTTGGACTAGAAGATTAACTACTTGTTTGGATGTAGTTAGAGCCATTGAATACCTACATGGGCTACCATATCAAAGTTTTATTCATAGGGATCTTAAGCTTTCTAATATTCTTTTAGCAGATGATATGAGGGCCTAAGTGGCTTATTTTGGATTGGTTCGTCTTGCTCTAGAAGGGAAAGCTTCAATTGAAACGAGACTAAGCTGGAACTTTTAGATATCTTGCTCATGAATATGCAAGTAACTAAAAAATTTTCAACTTTCATACTTTGCATGCCTAGAGTTATTTTATTCTTTTGTTGTAGAGTAACCAATAAAAGAATGAACAAACATGAATAGGATAAGAGAGGCTACAACAATGAATTGCAATTGAGTTTGACACTTTTTCTCTTTTTTATTTATTGGATTTTCTGTTTGAAATTATTTTTCATTTAGGTTTTTAATAGTTGGAACATTGTAGAACCAACACTCGAAGTTTTCTCTCCATCAATGAAAAACTATTTTCCATGTTATTGCTTTAAATAACTAGAGAAAATGAATAAAGGAAATAAATCTAGTGTAGTAAAAGGGATGATGATCCTTCATGTGTCATGTTTTTCAACCACGATGCATGGTACTATTATCATTTGTGCAACATTTGGAGATATATAAGTACAAGATTTCATATGATTATATAAGAGCTCTCTATACAACATTTGGTCCTTGTTTTGACACATAAATTTTGGTCATTATGATCTTGGTGTTTGATGCATGCTTGTGATAATGGGTAGCATATTGCATTAGTTGAGTTGAATGCTTCACTTTGCCTTATTGTATTTATTGGGCAATCCGAACTAGAACATATTTATTCTTTTATATAGTCGAGTTGGTGTTAGGGTTAGAACACACACTAGCCCAATTGCTTGGATAAACTCATTCCCTTTTTGTGTAATAAAAATGGGATAATAATAAAAATGAAAATAAGCACATAAGACACTAAGAATTTTTACGTGAAAAACTCCCTCCGAATGAAGGAGAAAAATCACAGGATCGTAGTCTACTAAAAACTTCCATTATATCAAATAATGGGATCACAATATGATCTTCACCAATATGATGGTTTTTCTATGATTGATTCGATCATTGAGTAGAGCACTATCCAAAGATCAATATGCTAAAATTTAATCTCAATTGGGTTTAAGATCACCATCCGATTGAGGCTCAAAGGATAACAACTCACACTCATAAATCTCTTTTTCTTGCAGTCTATAATTTTCACTCTATTGCTCTCTCTACTCTCCGCTCTTTGTCTCAAAACTAAAGCAAGCCATGCCTATTTATAGGCAAGACAAATGCTACTCCATGTAGCAATTGTTGAAATCAACAATTGCTACCCCCACCTGACAATAATTATTGATTCATCAATTGTTGTGTCCATCCAATAATAATTGTTGATTCATCAATTCATACTTGCAGTAGTAATTGTTAAATTCAATAATTGCTCGTTATGGTGGGATATGGGCGAGACCAAAAATTCTATCCCTTACGCCCTTGTGGGAGGCTCTGCCATACTAGCTTTCTCTATGCAGAGATTAAGTTTCTTTGTAGGCAAAGTTTTAGTCATTATATCCAATCTATTCCATTATCAATGGTATGAATTTTATCAAGTTAGAACGATCTGGCTAGGTAGTTTTTTGCTTGAGGTTACTTGATTTGAAATGATTTGATTGTTAAATGAATTAGGTTAAGCTTATTGATTTAGTATTTATGTTATTGGTTGATGAGTATTGTTGTTATTTGGTTTTGATGATTGAATTGCTTATGGGAAAACATGAGGGATTCGACTATGCTTGATTAATTGAATGATTTTATGTCTTGAATAATAGATTGAACACTAGAGGAATATCATCATGATTCGATTATAGGCTTGTTAATTGGATGATTTGGGGAGAATTTATAGTCTTGGCTTTGGCTTATGCTTGTTGTGTTAGTGTAGATGCCCAAGATCCAATCATATTTGGATTGATTTGAGTTATTGTATTATTGTATCATTTATTTTATTAATAATAAATAATTTTTTTTATTAATTCTTATATCGTATATTTTTTTATTGAATAGAATTAGATAGAAGTCCAAATGATATGTATTTATATTAGTGATTGATTAAAAGATGTGAGACAAGTATCGATGTGCATAAATGATATCATTAAATATCCCAAGTCGTAACATTATCAAGAATGGATATTTAATAGATGCGATTAGACTTGTGATTACTATGCTCATGTTTTATGATAGTAGTAGAATATCTCACACCTATTATCATGATGATGCCAAAGTAAGCACTTAGGTGATTCATGTTAGAAAACATATCACTTGGACTTGACTCGTCATGAGAATCCATTTGGTTTAGTCTATGGGAATCCCATACAAGATGGGTACAACTAGTCCTTAAATTTAAAGTTATTACGATTATCTCATTGAAGGATTTATATACTTTGACACTTGTTTCGATGGATCAAATAAAGGTTTGCACGTGGGCAATTTATTGGGTGTACTAGGAATCGAATTGAGGTAGGTGGATGACTAAGACAAGACATATCATTTCTTGTATGCTAAAGGAGTTATCATATTGCATTTTGATGAATGTCCGCTTAAGAAATGCTGTGGCCACGATAGGAGTATACCAATAGAGCATAGTTGGTTTACTCTATGAGCTAAGACATTAGGAAATTGAAGAAACATTATGTGATTAGGATCGAAGAAGGCTAATAACCAAGTTCAAGATTACACTCGTGATAAATTGACATGAGGACTGAATTATATGGTAATCATTCTCATGAAAGGTAATTATGAATTAATTAATCTTTCTAGAGAATTGGGTAGTCATGATACCATGCTAGAGGCCAATCTTGTTTAATGATCAAGAGATAAAAGAGTGTCTTTTATTCTTTATACATTGCCAACATATCTAAGAGTTTATTGAGTTACACGCATAATTTTAAGTATTCACATGATTAAAGAAAAGCTAAGATGTTGGAAAAAGTTTTCAATTTTGAAAGTTTCTTATTTTAGAAAAAAATTTGAAAATGGAAAGTTTTCTATTTTAGAAATCAGTTTTCTAATTTAAAATTTAGTTCCAAATTTAAAATTAAATAAACTAAAATAGAAATTAGTTTCCTAATTTAGGTTTATGGATAATTTGAGAAATTATTTTTTAATTTGGGCCTCTTAAAATTATCTAAGATAATTTATTTGGATAGTCTAAATTAATTAGTTGGGCCAAAATAGTTTGGACCAATAGGCTTAATTAAAAGTCTAAAAGATATTTTGCTTGAGAGGACAAACAAAAACCTTATTAGATAAGGATGAATGTTTTATAGATAAGATAAAAAAATACACATATAAAATAACTCCTAATCGTTAGAGGAATAAGAAACAAAAACCTAGAGTTTTTTAGGGACTCATTGTCGCTTTTCGTTGTCCTTGGAGGACAAGGAAGCCTATCCTATAAATATATGAGAGAGAGGTATGACAAATGATTGTGTTTTTAACAAGAGAGAAAAAATGACAAAAGGGAAAAAGAAGCTTAGGTACACGGCTTGAGTAGAAAATTAAGGAGAAATAGTTTTTTTCCCTTCCTAAAAATAAACACACCACTTTTCTCTTTCTCTTAGGTTGTCACAAAGTTTCTCCGATTTGATTTCTAAAGAAAAACACTAAACAAGTTAGAAAAGGTGGAGCCATCACTTTACCAATTTTGAGTGCTTCTTTTGTGATGCTTGGACTACGTGGATTATCGATAGAAGTCGGACACTTGAATGACTCTTTTCTATAAAAGGTTTAAAACTATGTTACGAGAGGTAATTCTTTATTTAGAGCTTTAATTCATGAATATATGGTTAGTTGATTCAACGACATGATCTTAGGCCTTTTAGATGGAGAAAAGTTTTGTTTTATTTCGCACCTCTATAGAATGATGATCTTTCATGTTAGACTTATTATTGAGATTATGGATTGTAATGATGTAATTGTATGTTTGTTTTTTGTGATTGATTCGATCCATGGCCATGAAAATGCTTAATGTTGTTATGGCTTGATAAAATTCAGATTTGGTGATTAATTGAGGTTGTTCAAATTGTGTTCATGTTGTTTTAAGGCTTGATGTTTGGTCAAGTCATGTCATGTTAATTATATTATGCCATACGAGTTTATGTTCATATATATGCTTGATAAACATTCTAATTGCATTCATATCATGAAAATGTTTAGGCATGATTTCAAGTATTCAAAAAAAAAAAAAAAGTCATGTTCATATTTTTAAGATAGGCTTGCAAAGAAAATGATATGGTGCATACACTTTGCAAGGCATACAATAGGAATGATCTGGTGTATACTCTTAGTATGTAAAGGGAATGATCTAGTATATACCTTTAATATGATGGCTCATAAGAGAATGATCTAATGTATATTCTTCATGAGGATGATAAGGAAATGTATTTCAAAATCATGATAATGAATTTATTTATATTCATGCATGGGTACATTTATTGATATTTAGCTCATTTTGTTTGTCTTGTGGTGCAAGTGAGTAAAGCAATGCTTGAAGACATGTAGATGTATTGAGGATGCTGATCTTAAGCTATAGAGTTTTCCCAATTATGTACTACAAGTCTAGGATTAAAGTTTGAAGGGTAAATTATTGTTAGGTTTGAACCACTTTTGGGTATTGCTTAGTTTCGATCATATTGGATTGTAAATGATGAACTTTAGGTTATTTTGGTATGTTCAATTATATATGTTCATGGAATTGAAGGATAGGATAATGAAATGTTTGTGTCAATTTTAGATAATTAATGAATTAATCCAATTATGAATGCATTTATGCAATTATGGAAATGATATTAAGTTAGATTGAATATGAATGGTTTTAGGTTTGTTGTAAATTGCTAGTTTCAATCAAGGATGAAAAATTAGAAGGTGTAGGATGTTTATAAATGGTTTAGGTTGCCAAAAATTTCTTAGCCATAAATATT